GGAACAGATTACAAGGATCTACATGTGACCTCCTCCCAAGGGGATGGACAACAGAAAAGTGGGTGAAGGGAGACGTCGGAGAGGGCAAGATATGACAAAATAATAATTTATAAATTATCAAGGGCTCACGAGGGAGGGGGGAGCAGAGAGGGAGTAGAAAAAATGAGGACCTGATGCGGGGCTTAAGTGGAGAGTAAATGTTTTGAGAACGATGAGGGCAATGAATGTACAAATATGCTTTACACAATTGATGTATGTATGGATTGTAATAAAAGTTGTATGAGCCCCTAGTAAAATGATTTAAAACAAACAAACAAAAGAAATAAACTACACAAACGCATGGGGGAAAAAAGAAAGCTCTGTGTTAGTCTGGGTTAACTATCTATCTATCTAGATAGATATAGATATAAAGTATGTATCTATATGAGTAAATGGATATTAAGAAAACACCCTAGCCCAGTCCAAATCAAGTCCATAAGTTCGATATCCCATAAGTGTGATATTAGCCCATGAAGTCCCCTTCAGACTCACGCAGCACATGCAATGATGCCGAATACAGGAAGATCACAGGCCGGTGGATGCAAAGCCTTGTGGGTCCAGTGGCTCCAGGACTCTGGCTGCCATCAGTGTGGCTCCACGTGGCTTGTCAACATTAAGGTGAATCAGAGAGTAAAGAGAGTGTGTCCCACCTCCGGGAAGGAAGAGAAGAAGTCCCAGAATCCTCATGAGGAGGCCACGCCCACAAGGAGGGGTCACCAGGCTGTGACCTGACTGGCAGGCTAGACTCCACCCCGTCATTCTTATTTATCAAGTTGACATGAAATTGTGTAACTACCACAAGCTCTTGCTCTCACGTCTTTTTAAAAAATAATGTTCTTTCTTATATATATGTGAGTGCCACTGGATTTATTTTTCTAGACAATCTGGCCTAACACTACCCTCCCTCCCTCTTCCTTCCTTCCTTCCTTTCCCCCCTCCATTCCTTGATCACACAGGTACCGGGCCGTTTTACCCCCTCATCGGTTGACATAGATTCAAACCTAGCTCCTTAGCACCTAAGCAACCTCGGGTGAGTCCCAGCACCCTCCTGGGCCTCCATTTCCTCACCTGGAAAGTGGGCTTGATGCCACCTGCCTCACAGGGATGCTGGGATGGTGGGCACCTGACGGGGTACTTGGTGTACAGTAGGTGCTCAATATATGTGAACACCACACCTCCCACCACCCCCTTCCTGACCTCTCAAAGACGTGATTGTCCAGGCTTTGTCATTGAGATCCTGCTCTGGCCTTCCTTCCTGCAGGCCCTGCAGGCTGGGGCCACCTGGGTCTACCCCCAGGGCCCCTTCAAGAGTTGGTGTGACCCTCTCCAGGGTGCCAAGGTAGAGGCTGAACCCAGTCAGCATTCCATGATTAGCAGTGGTTGTGAGTCACTCACTTACTCAGTAAAACCTAATGAGGCACTATAGTAGTCAATGTGAGACTATTAAGAGTGAAGGGGTAGTAAGCTATGACAAAATAATAATTTATAAATTATCAAGGATTCATGAGGGAGGGGAAAAATGAGGAGCTGATGCCAGGGGCTTACCTGGAGAGCAAATGGTTTCAGAATGATAAGAGCAATGAATGTACAAATGTGCTTTACACAATTGATGTATGTGATGGATTGCGATAAGAGTTGTATGAGCCCCTAGTAAAATGATTTAAAAAAAGTGAAGGGGTGGAGTTTAGCCTGTCAGTTAGGTTTCAGCTTGATGACCTCATTTGGAGGCGCTAAAAAGATAAATAGCTTGCTGGAGGCGGGACAGATGCTCTCTGCTTCGTATTCCTAATGACAAGCCACATGGAGCTACATTAATGGAGCCAGAGCTCTGGAGCTGGAGGAGCCCGGTGGAGACCCACGCCAGTGCTAAGACGCTGCTACTGGATCCACAAGACTTCCCACCCACTGGCCTGTGATTCTCCTGCATTCTGCATCATTGCATGGTTGTGTGAGTCTGAAGAGGAATTTATAGATTGGTATCGGATATTGAGTTAGTTTATTGTGCCAACCTGGCCGATAAACACATGTGGGATTAATTGAAGGGCAGAGGGATAAATGGCTCGGTGAGCCTCGACTTTCTAGTTCTCGGGTCACTTGCTTTGTGATGGTCGCCCCAGGGTGCAGCTGCCTTAGCAGTTCCCTGCTTCAGCTTGCAAGGCTGAGTTCCTGCAAGACATCCCCAAGGAGAAGCCACATGGACCTACCCCGATGTAGCCCTGGGTGCTGGAGCAGCCGTGTGGAGACTCCTGCCAGTGCTGAGATGTTCACACGCTCACTGACTTGGCTTTCCTCCTGCAGGCGGCATCATTGCGTCTGTTTTGTGAGATGGAGGAGGACTTTGTGGACTGGTGTTGGACATAGGGGTTAATGGGTGAATATTGGACTTGTGGGCTTGGGCAGCACTGGGTTGGGATGTTTTCTTGATGCACAGTTAACCTTTCTATAAAACTCTCTCTTTTACATGAGTTTCTGTGGATTTGTTTCTCCAAAGTACGCAGACTAATACAGATATAGGCTGATATTGGACTTATGTACTGGGCTGGGATGTGTTTTTAATATACAATTACTCTTAGATATAACACTCTTTCTTATACACATATGAGTATCTCTGGATTTGTTTCTCTAGTCAACCCAGACTAACTCACGCACCTACTGTGTGCTAAGCCCTCAGTCAATGCTTTCCATACTTGACAGGCGTGACAATAGCCCCAGAGAGGTGCAGCCACCAGGCCAAGGCCGCACACACAGGAGGACAAGCCCAGTCAGGGTTGACTGCCCCCCCAGCTCCCCCCCACCCCAGCACACTGCATTTCCAGGTGCCCCCAGGCCTGCTTTGGGTCAGTTGGGGCCTGGGTCCCAAAGCAGTTCCTTTTCTGGATACCACACGGGTGTTTCCGGACATTTTAAGAACTGCATCAGGGTGTGACTTGGAAGCCCTGCTTATTTTCTCCTGTTTGGTTTTCTACCCTTTCTGTCAGAACTATCGTTATTTTTACAAGGGAGACTAAAAATTAAATACAGTAAATCATATGTAATAAATGAATCAAAGTCTCAGGTTGAGTTCTCCGGAGAAGCAAAACCAGGATGCTTCCACATGCGTAGACACAGACAGGTGTATCTCAAAGAAACGGCTCCCACCATCAGCGAAGTGGGTCGGTGCCAAGTCCGCGAGTCAGGCGTCAGGCGGGAGGCTTCTCCTGACTCATGTGGCCGCAGGGGCTGATGAACCCAAGATTGGCAGGTCAGATGGCAGGGTCGGCTGGCAATCCTGCAGACCACTAGGCTCAAGTCCAAAGAACTGGAGCCTGCTGCAGGATCCCAGCCCAGTTAAAAAAATAAATAATAATAAAGCCAAACCAGCTTTTCCACAGCATCTACATATATTGGAAGCAAGCCACATCCCTGGGGAAACTTCCTTTCATTTGATTGGCTGTTCATCACAGCTGTCACCGGGAAAGTGATTACATTATATTAGATCTCATCATGAGGGTGTCTTAACTGCCAAACCACAGCGAATCCTGACCCAGCCGTGTGGACACAAAATCATACTATTACAAGAAAATAAAAGGATGATCATAATAGAACCCTGGTTAGGGAGAAAAGGAGGCCTGGTGGTGCTATGGGCTAAGCTTGGATTAGCTTGGGCTGCTAATCACAAGGTGGGCTGTTCACACCCACCAGCTACTCTGAAGGAGAAATATGAAGCAGTCTGCTCCCGAGAAGATTTACTGTCGCTGCGGTACCCTAAAGGGTATCTCTACTCTGTCCTATAGGGTTGAAATGAGTAGGAACTGACTCACGGGCAGTGGGTTTGAGCAGATGGCCTGAAATTTTCTCCCAGAGTAGCTGGCTGGGTTTGAACCATGGGCCTTTTGATGAGCAGCCAGGCGCTTAGCCATTCCTCCACCAGGGCTCCCTGGGCACTTGAGAGACTGGAAAGGACCTGCTATTGGGCTGCGAGCTTTGCATGTGCACTCTGTGGCGTGCTTTTCAAAGTGAGCGGAATCGAAAGTCAGAAAACAACACAACATCAAAAGGGACGAACAGATCACAGGAGGGGTTCACCTACAAGGCCCCTAAATCATTTAGGACCTGACACTTTAGAAGCATGTGTCCATCTGTCCCGGCACATCTACTCTCCCACGGGAAACCTGGAGGGATACGGTGTGTGTGTGTGTGTGTGTTTGTGTGTGTGTGTGTGTGTGTGTGTGAAGCATGTGTCCATCTGTCCCGGCACATCTACTCTCCCACAGGAAACCTGGAGGGATACGTGTGTGTGAAGCATGTGTCCATCTGTCCCGGCACATCTACTCTCCCACCAGAAACCTGGAGGGATACGGTGTGTGTGTGTGTACACCGCTGGTCCCCACACAGCCTTTTATTCTGAAGTAAGGTGGGGAGCCCGGGAGGTAGCACTCCCACAGGACTGCCAGGCCAAGGTCCTGAGGGGCCTGGGTGGTGATGGGGGTCCCTCCATGGAACCCCTTGGCCACCAACTCGCAGAATGAGGCCCTGCTCATTCGCAGATGCTCCAACCAAACTGGTTTTCCATGTGGGCGATGGGAGCCCGCTCGGGCCCAGCCGGCAGGCTGCCCGGTGAAGACGTATCTGCCTGGTGGTGGGGCTGGGGCGACAGGATCCGGTGCTACCGAACTTAACTAAAGGCCAGGCGTTTTGGGTTCTGCGGTTTGCAGAAGCTCAGCCCATCCCACGGTGGCCCCGCGGAAGGGGTGGGGCTGACCCCATCTTCGCAGGAGGGGGGCGGTGTGCAGCCGAGGCGGGGCTCCCGCTCGGCTCCTCCCCGCCCCCCTCCACCCCAGAGCCCCGGCTCCAGGCCACTCCCCGCACACCCTGGGACTCCCGCCCCCGGGGCAGCGGCTGCCCGCGGACCAGGAGGAAGTAGCTTCGCCACCGCGGGTTCAGCGGGTCGCTGCCGCCTGCAGCCGTCGGGTCCGGCAGCCATGGAGGCGGAGCCGCCGCTTTACCCAGTGGTGGGAGCCCCGGGCCCGCAGGGTGCTGAGGACCCGCTCGGGGTCCCCGACGGGCTGGAAGCCCCGGTAAGCCGCGACGTGGACGTGGAAGGCTGGGTCAGGGTGCGGGGTCCCAGCTACCCAGATCCTCGGGGGCGACGGTCGGGGCGCCCAGGGGCAGGTAACTTTGGGGTGCAGGGGCGAGGATTGCGGAGCCGGGGGCTGGGGTAGGAGCGCCCCGGGTCCGTGTGCGGGGTTTGGGTAGCTGGGCCCTGGTGCGCTGCGGTCAAGGTGTGGGTTCCAAAGCGGGGGTCTTGGGGGCCGGGTCTCCCCAGGTCGGGGTGGGTCGGAGCACCGGGAGCCTGGTGCCAGCGCTGTGTCCCTCAGCTGGACGAGCTGGTGGGCGCGTACCCCAACTACAACGAGGAGGAGGAGGAGCGCCGCTACTACCGCCGCAAGCGCCTGGGGGTGCTGAAGAACGTGCTGGCGGCCAGCGCGGGAGGCGCGCTCACCTACGGCGTCTACCTGGGTACGCGGGGCGCGAGGGGCCCCAGGGCCCAGCACGGCACGGGAGGGGGTGGCCGGAGCCGTTCCCACCCCAAACTCAGCCTGGGAAAGAGAAACCTCCGGGGCAGCGGCCCTCCCTTCCTCTTTCGCTTCCCATTCTGCGGCCCTGCAGCTGCTGCGGCCACTCCACAGGGGGTGGGAGGTGACACCCACTGGGTGGCGCCCGCAGGTGCCGGCCTGACTCTTGCTGCGCGTAGGTGAGGGAGGGTTCCGTTTGGGGCACTGCGGCCCAGTGACCTGCAGAGCAGCGGGGGTGGGGGTGCACCCACCCCACCCCGGTTCCAGTGCTGGCTCCACGCTGCGATCTGAGCGCCCCCTCGATCCTCACCGAGGGCATGCGAACATCCCGTTGGTGTGAGGCTCGCCTTCTGGCCTTTCCTTGGTTGCCCCCATTCCATCCCCAGCCAAGTAGCTCCCTTCCCCCCCACAGGCCTCCTGCAGATGCAACTGATCCTGCACTATGATGAGACCTACCGGGAGGTCAAGTACGGCAACATGGGGCTACCGGACATCGACAGCAAGATGCTCATGGGCATCAACATGACCCCCATCGCCGCACTGCTCTACACGCCGGTCCTCATCAGGTGTGCGGGGCAACGGGAGGGGGTGGGGCAAGGGAGCTCTGGCCCAGGTTCCCCTCGGTTTCAAAATCCCCAACCCAAGCCTGTTGCTGGGGAGTCAACCCCAGGGCTGCACCACCGTTTTCTTGGCGGTCAATTTGTCCATAGATTGCCAGGTCTTTCTTCCGCGGCGCCTCTGGGTGGGTTCCAGCTGCCAAAGTTGAGCAATGAGCACAAATGGGTTTGCCCTCCATCTGACATCGTGGAACAGAAATTCACTCAGACCTTGCCCCCTGGCCTGCCTGCACCCCACGTGACACCATCCTTCTCTCCGACACTTCGAAGACCTCCAAGACCTTTTGAGGTCTGGGAGCCCCGGGAGGACCTGGTCAGGGAACAGGCCCTGGCACCTACCCAGCAGAAAGGGGCATGTTTTGGCAGTGCCCCCCAAATACGACTCTAATCCCAGCCACGGAGGCCTTGGCCCCCATGTCCTAGCCAGTGCAAAAGCCCAACCATGCACCCTCCCCACCAGACAGACAGCCCCTACTTGGAGGGGACCTGTGAGCAGCGGGCAAACCGGATGGGTCTTCTCATCACCACCGAGTGGATACTGGCTCAGAGCCACACTATAGAACGTGGTAGGACTGTCCCTCCGCAGTTCCGACACGGTAACTCTGAATTCTCCGTAGCTGCGGTTTTGAACGGCTGACATTGTAGTTAGCAGCCCAGTGTGCCACCACTACACAGTCACCAGGGCTCCGGATGGGTCTCAGTTCCATTGTGAAAGATCCCCATGGTCAGCAGTTCAAAACCACCAGCGACTCTGAGGGGGAAAGATGGGGTAAACCCATGGGAGGGGGTCTTCATGAGTCAGCGTTGACTCGGTGGCAGTGAATTTGCGTCCATTTCTGGGACTGCTTCTGTTTCCCCACCTGCACCCATGAGTAATGTGCATGCCCTTGCCAATGGTGTGTGTGTGTGTGTGTGTGTACGCACACAACAACCACTTGTAGCTGCTTTTCATGACTGTGCCTTAGCGGGTCTGAACTCAGCTCCGACAGCTGTGCTGGCAGCACCTGCTGCATGACCGGGGGCACTAGGCTGCAGCCCAGGGCTGGACAGTGCAGCACTCTCTCCTTTTCATATGCCCACTTTGTGTGTGTAGGCCCCCCACGCCCTTTGTTTTCCTCAGGTAAATCGCCAGCAGGGGGTGTGTGAGGTCAATGGTTTTAGATGTAGGTCCCAGCTCTTGAAACCTGTCACCCATCACCTGACACCAGCCCCAATCCCATTGCCCTCGAGTTGATTTGGACTCCCAGGGACCCCTCCCACATTTCAGAGTGGAACCCAGGGTTTTCTTGGCTGTCATGTTCAGGGAAGCAAATCACCAGGACATTCTTCCGCAGTGCTGCCGGGTGGGCTCAGAGGCAAACCGTATTTCGTTTCTTAAGTGTTAGACAGTTTATGTGGCTCCCAATAACCCTACGTCGGTGCTTGCATTTTATGCACGAGGAAACTAAGAGGTTAAATCAGTTACTCAAAACCCGCAGGCAGTAATTTACCCAGAACTCATTGGTCCAAAACGCATATGCTTAACCCCTGCGGAAACAGGCAGACCAATTTTCCAAACAGCTTTGCAAACTGGCATGCGTCCTGGCCCGGTGTGTCATTTTTCAAACCACATCCTCACCAGCAGTGAGTATTTGTATTTTCACTTTCTGCTGTGATTTTTTTAAACAGTTTTAGTAGCGCTTCATCCACGTGTTATACAACTCAGTAATTCACTCATACCAAGAAAAGTTGTAGTTGTCATCATATTCAATTCTAGAACACTTTCTTCTTCCTTGTAGTCATTCTTATTCATGGAATTATTATTATTATTTTCTCTATTTGTGGCAAAATATATACGCAACAGAATATTCTCCCATTCCACAACTTCTACTTGTATAATTCTACTGTTTTGATACATCAATATGTCCTGTATGTTGCTTGCGGTTTGCTTCCTTCCTTTCACTCCCCAAAAGTGTAGAAACACCCCCTGCTCTAGTTATTAGATGGAAAATATGCACTAAAAAGACCAGGCTCCATACTAGGAGAGGAGATAATTGTAATAGAAAACCGGGTTATTAAACTGTGAGCTTCCTGGAAGCCAAGGCAAAGAAAGAAAGAGGCACACACACACGGTCCAGCCATTGCCCTCCTAGGAGCCAGGGTGGAGGAGAGTCCTGGCTGTCTTTCAGAGACCGCAGGAGTCCTGGAGGGAGGCAGGGGTGGCAGGGTCCCAGCCCTACTGCTTACTGGCTGTGGGCCCCCGTGCCAAATCTCCTGACCTATAGCCAGTGTCAAGTTCCTAAAGACCTGTCCCTGGACTCTCGGTCACAACACATGAGCTTGGGTGGGGAAGGGGATACGAGGACCCAGAATATGAATGAGATTGAATTTGCCCCCGGACCTCTGACTTACAACTCCTGTCCACCCCCTTAGCTCCTTTCATTCATTTTTCTTTTGCACTTTAAGGTCTTAACAGAGATTTTGTTATTAGTTGAATATATGGGGGGAGGTTGTTTTCATGTATCATTGTTTAACAGTTTTATTGGCATATATAATTCACATATCATACAATTCAATAGTTCAGTCACATCAAGGAGAGTTTTACAATCCTCCCCTTTCATTCTTAAAATGGCCACGGCAGGATCCTGGGCTTATAGGTGCGAGGGGTTGGGTAGACCTGCCCCGCAGGGTTTCAAGTGGATTGCCACCTCTTCCTCCTGCTGAGGTCCTGGTGGGTAGGAACCACTGACTTTTGGGTTAGCAGCCGTTGGGTGAATGACTGTGCTGCCAGGGCTCCTATTTGAGTGGGCACAGCATGTGGTATCTGCTGAGGCCGGGCTCCATGGCCTGGTGAGCTGGTCTGGTCACGGGCCAGGGCAAAACTGACAGCCCCTGGCAGCAGTGTCTTTCTTATGCCCGCAGGTTTTTTGGCACCAAGTGGATGATGTTCCTGGCCGTGGGCATCTATGCCCTCTTTGTCTCCACCAACTACTGGGAGCGCTATTACACACTCGTGCCTGCGGCCGTCACCCTGGGCATGGCCATCGTACCCCTCTGGGCCTCCATGGGCAACTACATCACCAGGTGAGCAGTCAGGGGAGGCCTGGTCCAGCCCCTGTTGCGGTGCCAACCTCACCTGGGGGCCTTGGGCAGGCCCTTCTGGCTCTTGGTCTGACTTTTCCCTATGTGGGGTTGGGACAGGGCAGCATGGAGGCTGCTTGACAGAAGTGGGAGGTGGGACAACAATCTTCTCTGCTTTGTGGTGCAGGATGGCGCAGAAGTACTATGAGTATGTGCACTACAAGGAGCAGGAAGAGCAGGGTCCCAGGCAGCGCCCACCGAGGGGCTCCCACGCCCCCTACCTCCTGGTCTTCCAGGCCATCTTCTACAGCTTCTTCCACGTGAGTGCCTCCACTCCAGGCATAGACCCCCACGCTGGCTGCAGCCCTATGCCGTGCTCCTCGGCCCTCTGGTCCCACCTTCCTTGCTCCAGCCAACCTCTGCTTGCTTACCTTTGGCGACTGAGGTCTCACCACCTACCTGGACACCACAGGGAGCAGGAGGAAGTTCTCCTGGGTCGGGTTGGACACTACCCCCTTCCCAGCCCCACCCTCACCCCCGGCCCTGGTGGCCCCTCCTAGGCCATGCACAATCCCCTTCCCAGGCTACACCTGTGCCCTGCCTGGCTCTATACCCCGAGCCTGACCCCGTGGTCCCCTTGCCCACAGCTGAGTTTCGCCTGTGCCCAGCTGCCCATGATCTACTTCCTAAACCACTACCTGTACGACCTGAACCACACGCTGAGCAGCGTGAAGAACTGCGGTTAGTTCTCGTGGAGGGACCTGCTCACCTCCCCCAGCCAATTGCCCCAGCGCTCAGAGTTCAGGGCTGGGGCCGTGTCCCACAGATCTGGTGGGCAGGCACAGGGCCCTGTGGGAGTATGTTGTGGGGTGTCAGGCCCAGCCTGGGTGGTCAGGGAAGGGTGCCTGGAGACGGTGTCCTGTGTGCCTAGGTTGTGGAAGTCAGGCTTTGGGACCCTGCTTCCTAGACAGTGGTGTGAGCAGTGGGCAATTATCGGGCAGGATGTGGCAGCTCCACTTTGTGCTGGGGTGTGTGTGCAAGGTGCGCAGTGTGCCCTGTTCCCCACCTTATGATGCCCCCCGCCTCTCCCAGGCACTAATAGCCACGGCATCCTCAGCGGCTTCAACAAGACGGTGCTGCGGATGCTGCCGCAGAGCCGAAACCTCATCGTGGTGGAGAGCGTGCTCATGGCCGTGGCCTTCCTGGCCATGCTGCTGGTGAGGCTTTGCTGGGGGCGGAGTTGGGTGTGGCTGTGGTGGGGCGGGACTAGCTCTCGGGGCGTGGTCACAGTAGGGGCGGGGCCAGGGAGACCTGGCAGAATTCCAGGGAGAGGTCTTAAACCTGGGCCAGGGCTTGAGGCTCAGCGACATGGCTGATGCCTGGCCCCGCCCCTGGCACCCCAGAAGCAGGGAAAGGTCACCAGCCTGGCAGGAATCAAGCTGGGGATGGAGTCCCAGGGACTGCCTGCGAAAGAGTTGAGGGCTGGAAATTTGTGGTTCAAACCAGGAGACCGGCTTTAAGGTCCTAGGAAGAAGGACTAAGGCGGGGCCTTAGAGCTGTGTAAGGGGGCGGGGCCTTGAGCTGGAGGCAACCTGGGGGCGGGGCTTGGAGGCCAGACTGCCCTCTGTCATGGGTGTGTGCTTCTCAGGAGGCGGGGCCTTAGGTGGAGAGGCGGGGCTGATGCCAGGGGCGTGGCCTGGCTTGGAAGTGTCTCCTCACGGCGCGGATCTGCAGGTGCTCGGCCTGTGCGGCGCTGCCTACCGGCCCACGGAGGAGATCGACTTGCGCAGCGTGGGCTGGGGCAACATCTTCCAGCTGCCCTTCAAACACGTGCGTGACTTCCGCCTGCGCCACCTGGTGCCCTTCTTCATCTACAGCGGCTTCGAGGTGCTCTTCGCCTGCACTGGGCTCGCCCTGGTACGGACGGCCAGCCAGCTGCGGGACAGATGCAGTCCAGGACGCCCGAGATGGCAAACGCTTTTCACTGCAATGCAAAGATCTCGGCATCCCTCAGCCTCCCCCTCTCCTCCAGCGTTACCTGGGACTAGTTATCTTAGCCTCTCTGAGCCCCACTTTTCTCACCTGTGAAGTGAGCTGGAGGTTGAAATGGGAAGGTGCCTTTGTGGGTACAGCCCTTGCTTCTGGGACCACAGAACCCCAGGAGCCCCGCGGTGGGGCGGGAAGGGCGGGCGCATCAGACTGCCCAGAGGGATGGAGGGGCAGCCTATAGTTACACCTCTCATAGGGAGGGGACCGAGCTGGGCTGGCTGGCCTCTGACATTAGCCCTGCTGTGCTCCAGGGCTACGGCGTTTGCTCCATGGGACTGGAAAACCTGGCGTCCCTTCTGGTGGCTTACAGTCTGGGTGCCTCGGCTGCCTCCGCCCTGGGCCTGCTGGGGCTGTGGCTGCCACGCTCGGTGCCCCTGGTGGCCGGGGCCGGTCTGCACCTGCTGCTTACCCTTGGCCTCTTCTTCTGGGCCCCCGTGCCCAAGAGCCTTCAGCACAGCTGGATTCTCTACTCAGCAGTCGCCCTCTGGGGTGTAGGCAGTGCCCTCAACAAGACCGGGCTCAGCAGTGAGTATCGCATGGGCACTGGGTGAGGTTCCTGTGGACACTCCAGGCATGGAAGGCTGTCCTATGGACAGTGTAGAGGCAGCTGGGGGAGCTTGTGGACACTGGACCAGTGTGAGAGCATGTGGACACCAGATGGGTGTGAAGCTCCTTGGCCCCCCTGTGGTGACACTGTGGAAAAACAGGGGGCACTTGCTTTTTACTGAAGGCCTGGGTACCCCCGCAGGTCTCTGCCTAGGTTCTTAAGTAGCAAGAGGGGCCCCGCCTGCATCCCAGGGACACAAGCAGAGGATGCAGGATGGGTGTGTGTCTGCGGGGACACACAGCCGGTGTGCACAGGCCCAGGCTCATGGGCTGCCCATAAGTGTCTGTCCTGATGGGCCAGTGCCGGTGTGGCTACACCAGATGGCAGAGGTCAGACTCGCTGTGGCCTGGCCAGGCAAGCCCTGACCTACCACCCAGGAACCCTAGTAGTAGGAGTCTCCTGTGGGGCCCATACTCTATTTGTCTATTTCCCAAGAGGGCCAGACCTTGGCTGGGGCGGGTTTGGGAGGCAAGGCTGAGGTCTGTCACCAGCTCTGAAGGTCCCTTCTCTTCCTTGTGGTACCTGGGATTCCCTGTCCCTTCAAAACTCCCCCCTCCCCTCCGGGAGCAGAGTCTCTCTGCAGAGTCTCAGGATGGGCGTGGGGATGTCCCGGGTGCCTGGCCGGGGGGTCCACTGGGTGCATTGGTGGCTTTATCGCACAACAAAGTCCCAACACACTGTAAGATCTGTACGATAGATAACTAACTTGGGGTGCTGGAAGTGGATCCGCATCTCTGTACCTCAAGACTCCGACCTTTCTTCATTGTACATTCTGGAGCACCCGAATTGGAGTTGCCCACTCGCAGTCAGGGCTCTGTCTGCCCCATCCCTCAAGGAATTTTGGATGCCTAAGTGCCCCCCCCCCC